ACATACAAGAGGATTGGAAGTGATACGACATCATGGAGATAGAAACATGCAGTGATTTATAATGACTCGTGGTCAGGCTGTTTAGTTTTCTTTGAATCGAAATAATTGATACTTGAATACATTTGTGTTCAAACTGTTCCTTTTCAATACTTTCTTAAAGTGTTTTTTTTATTTTGGTTTGAATGGAAGAAAATTATTTTAGGAGCCGATGAAAAAGCAACAAAGAAAAGGTTATAGATGAGAGCTAGTAGAGTCAACAGCGAAACCAACTTATTTTCAAGAATGATATTAGAATAAGCGCATGATTTAAAGAAGAGATTAAATTAGACGTTATACTTTTAAAACGTCAGTGTGTACATTCTCGGGTAAAATCTTGTCATATGACCAGCTGAACAATTTAACTCTGAACAAGATGATAGTTTCAAAATATACACACACTAGAAATATATTTTAAAAAAAAAATAACTTACCACATTAGGAGCGCGACCTTTGATCAGAAGCTGAACCTCGTTTTCAACAACTTCCGGTCTCGTTTTCTTTTTCTGCATTATCTTTATAGCGACGATCAATCCGTTGTTCTCGGCAAAATCGACGCCAGGGTCAAGGACACACTGGTCACAGCAGCTTTCGTCGTCCCCATCCGTATAGAGCTCATGACAACCGGCTTCACCTAAACAAGCCACAGCGCTCTGCCCCTCGCCTCTGATCAACGTGTTGGCATTCGCGTCCTGCAGCGGTGACCGATGCGTCTCCCGCCCTTGGTCGCGGTCCAGCTCCGATGTTAGATTTGTGATCGCACACTTGAGGACTTGACCAGCGTAGCCAGAACCGACGTTCTCAAGGACGTCAATGTTGAACTTTCCCCTGATGAGGTCGCCTATGGTGTAATCAAAGTAGGGAAGAGCAGATTCCCCTTTTATGCTAGAAATACCCAGCATTTTAAAAATATCGTTCTAAAAATATATATGTAAAAGTCTATGAAAGGATTCCTTGAGGTATAATTAAAATGTTAAAATATTGCACTTTCACTTCTAAAACCCATGAAAAGTCATCGTAAAATTCAGCTAAGATTAATCCAGTAAAAATTGAATATATTTTTAAACGATGTCTCAACTCGACATTTGTAGGACGCAGAGCTGTTAAAAAAAAAAAATCACAACATTAAAAAAAGTATCCAGTTTGAGAGCCTGTTCCTGTTGCTTTGGCCACCCGGGCCTGATTGGAGAATCACAGGCCCAAGACTGCACAGTGTGTCACTGACTCGTGACCACTATTCATGACATAATGTTTCTTTGAGATTTCATTAGTTTTTTCTTACGACCCGCAAAACTCGGGGGGGGGGGGGGGGGTTTCTGTGTGTTTGGAGCATTTTCCTCTTCATGCCCTGAGTATATTAGTGTCCATCTTGTGTCCATCTTGATTCACAGATGTCGAGCAGGGTGAACTTGTATGTTCTCATTTCTGCCGCCACTTGGGCTGATTTTCCTTGTCTCATACATGATTCTAACATTCCACGAGCCTATGTTCATTGCGTCTGAAAGTAGAGTCCTCGGCTGTGAGGCTTCCAGGTTAATCTGGATTTTGCCGCAAGACTTCATAACTCTTTTTTGGAAAGTAGAGCCTCTCTTTTATCACGGCTGACGTTGTTATTTTTCTCTACTGGTTGAAGCTTCTGTAACAATTTTTATTTTTACGAGAGCCAACCTTTTGCACCCGGGCTTGGGAAGGGTGGGGTATATAGCGGGCCTCACGCAAACCGTCCTCCTTTTGCAGTCGGGCATGAGTTGGTTAAAAGTGAACTAGCCTAAAAATAGTTTATCGCCGTTAAAAAAACTTCACTGGTTAACCTAAAACCAGAGTGACTGACGTCTTTACAAAGGGAACAGACGACTGCTGCTGCACAAAACTACTTTCAAAATGCTGCCAAAACAAAAACAAAAAAACGTTTAATAGAATTAGCAAAATATAAGCACGCACCCCAATGAGAAATTACAATAAAACATTACCTGTCTGTTGTGTCCCTCACATTTCTGTGTGTCCCTCCTGTTTCTGCGCTAGCTGCAAATTTCTTTGTCTCCTTCACCTTTCTGTGTGTCATTACCTTTCTGTGTCTCCATCACCTTTCTGCGTGTCCATCACCTTTCTGTGTCTCCATCACCTTTCTGTGTCTCCATACCTTTCTGCTTGTCCATCACCTTTCTGTGCTTCCATCACCTTTCTGTGTATCCATCACCTTTATGTGTGTCTATCACCTTTCTGTGTGTCCATCACCTTTCTGTGTCTCCATCACCTTTATGTGTGTCCATCACCTTTCTGTGTGTCCTTCACCTTTCTGTGTCTCCATCACCTTTCTGTGTCTCCATCACATTTCTGTGTGTCCATCACCTTTCTGTGTCTCCATCACCCACTTGGTTCCCTGTTTCCTTGGGGATATTTGAAAAAAATTTCGAAATACAGATGTCATGAGATTGTAGGTCACGTAATAGTACTCTTTAAGTCAAATCATGTCCAGTGACTTGTCTGTAGGCCAAATCATGTCCAGTGACGTGTCTATACGTCAAATCCTGTCCAGTGACTTGTCTGTACGTCAAATCATCTCCAGTGACTTGTCTGTTATTGAAATCATGTCCAGTGACTTGTATGTACGTCAAATCATGTCCAGTGACTTGTCTGTACGTCAAATCATGTCCAGTGACTTGTCTGTATGCCAAATTATGTCCAGTGACTTGTCTGTACGTAAAATCATGTCCAGTGACTTGTCTGTACGTCAAATCATGTCCAGTGACTTGTCTGTACGTCAAATCATGTCCAGTGACTTGTCTGTATGCCAAATCATGTCCAGTGACTTGTCTGTACGTAAAATCATGTCCAGTGACTTGTCTGTACGTCAAATCATGTCCAGTGACTTGTGTCCAGTGACTTATCTGTACGTCAAGTCATGTCCACTGACTTGTGTGTAGGCCAAATCATGTCCAGCGACTTGTCTGTACGTCAAATCATGTCCAGTGACTTGTCTACGTCAAATCATGTCCACCGACTTTTCTGTACGTCAAATCATGACCAGTCACTTATCTGTACGTCAAGTCATGTTCAGTGACTTGTCAGTAAGAACATTCGCATTACTCAAAAAATAGCTCAGATGTTTTATTCTCATTCGTCCAGTTTTAGCTAAAAGATAATTTAACAAAAAAACCAATCTTGATACACATCCATTCAACCAGTTGCTAGTTGCTTCCCCTTGTCTGGAACTCACGACCGATACGTTTGTTTTAACAAAAAACAACTCTTTTCAAAAGTTTTTTTTTTTTTTAATATTAAAAAAAAAATGGTTTTAATAATTAATATTCTTAAAGTTAAATATTTTTAACTTAACGTTTTAACGTTCAATTTAAACGTAATTAAAATGTCACTATAAAATAATGATCACGTAAAACATAGCCAGAACAAACGGGCTTCCATGTCCGTCACAGGTCAAAGGCGCCTTGTTGGTCTTTTGAATAATAATGGGCCTTAAGAGTTTTTTTTTTTTTTTTAAAGTACAGTTTACTTTTGTTATGATGCCCTTGAATAAGCGGCATATCAAAAAAAAATTGTAGTTTTGAAAATTAAACATTCAAAACGACAGCAGAATTAATCCCCCCCCATCTCACCTTGAAAATTCAACTTGAAAATGGAAGCCATTTGGTGACGCCCATTCACTTGTTACGTGCCAAGACTATTGATATTACGAATACTTCAAATCTGTGTCTTTTTTAAAAAGCCTTAACAGCTAAGGGCCTGGTACTTTTGTGTTTTTCTTACTATTTTCTTAGTTTGACTAACTGCAGACGTAATCTGCAGCAAGTGGCTGGGAAATGCACAGACCACGTGATGTAACGGCACTGCATTTAATAGCAACTTCGATATTAAATGTTCGGATAATTTGGTGAGACTGAAAAGACAAAGTGCGAGGCGCTGCACCGCAAGTCGTTAGATAGCGAAGTTATCCCGCATTAAAAACCGATTTTACCGCAATTTTTAAAGTGGCATTTACTTATTTCCATGACAGCTGACACCATGAACGTGACGTAACGAGGCACCGATTACAACAATTGTAAGTTTGAATTGAAATTTGAAAAAAAAAATTTGGATGATTTAGTGACACAAAATTCAAACTTTACAAATAAATAAACGGTTATGGAAATCAGATGAAAAATATGGGTCGCTCCAATCACAGATAATTTAATGTAGGCACAGATCTATAAGTACATAAATCGTTCAGTGTGAGCTCATTTATTGATGAGTAGTTAGTGCATAATTCTGCATCCATTTTGTTGCCAGTAAATCACTTAATACCAGTGGATTCGGTTGCATGATTTGATGTTCCAGTGAAAATTGGACTACATCTTTCATGTATTATTTTGAATTATATTGTAGTCATTTCAAGCTTAAGTATAATTAAATAATAACGGATTTACAACAACAAAATAATAATTATATAAAAAAAATAAATAAATAAAAGACTAAGAAAGTATAAAGGAAATAGCATAACAAGGGATGTGCAAGTTTTGAAACAGAAAGACAGGACAATACAAGAAGAATGTTTCGGCTAAGAGCCTTCCTCCGAAGACAGGACATGTAAAGAAATAACAAGAAGATGAGCACACCTTGTTCTTCTGTTTCCTTAAACAGCTTGAACTCAGTTCTTCATTTGCTAGCATGCAGATCGTACGTTGCACCCAAGCCAATAAATTATATTTATTCGATTGATATAACTAACATCGAGATTTGTTTAATTGATATTTAAAAGAAAAGATCTCAGTCAACAGCAAGCAGACAGACATTTTCCAGCCATGTTGAATCTCGTAATCGATTACAACAAAAGCGATCGCTTCATCGAAACAACAGCACCATTGTGCCTTTCCCCGTCCAATGTGCTGTCACGTCCACCAAATCCACCAATCAAATACAGCTTTGATTATGACGTCATCGTCGTCGCGGAACTCTTCGTCAACTGCGTCATGATACAAGCTCTGTGCGCGCTCGCCATCGGCGGCAACCTCGTCAGCATCGTCGTCGTAAGCCACCACGGGTTCCAGGAGACGACCAACATCGTCGTGACGTCGCTTGCCGTTTGCGACCTGGCGTACTCTCTGACGAACTGCCTCTACGCGATGCGATCCGTCCTCGGCAGATTCGACACGCCTCTGTCCAGCACGTTCTCCAGCTACTACGTCGTCTACGTGTTCCCCTGGAACCAGTGGTCCCTGGCATGTAGCGTGGGACACGTGACCATCATAGCCCTGGAGCGAATGCTGGCGGTGTGCTTCCCTTTCCGCGTGTCCACGATCGTCACCGCACGCCGCATGACGGCAGCTGTCATCTCCGTCTACATCTGCAATCTGCTGATGTCGATACCGCTACATTTGATATTCGATTTCGAATGGGTGGCGAGTGGCCAAAACGCATCTTACGCCGCTCTGTCCGAGAATCAGTTCTACAGCGACAATTCGGAGCTGATGAACTTTTTTCTGAGCGTTGTGTTCAGCAACTTGGCGCTGACGCTGCCCTTAGTCGTCGTGTTCGTGTGCACTTCAACGACAATCGTCAAAATAACCGTCAACAGGAGACACATACAAATGTCGTTGACGGCGGCCTCGTGCAGGAGGAGAGACCAGAAGGCTGTGAAAAGCCTGCTGACGGTCTGCGTGGTGTTTCTGGTGGTCGTGGCGCCGTCGAGCGTGTACAACGTGTACGCCGCCGTCGGCCCTGACAGCTCGGTGCTGTCCGGTGAATTCAAGATACTGGTCGCGCTCGTCCAGGGACTGTTGTATCAGACGAGTGCAACGGTCAACTTCTTCATCTACCTCAGAACCAGTTCGAAATTTGCAGGCACTTACAAGGCTTTGTTTTGCTTTGGGTACAATTTATAAGAATAAGATTGTCATTACAAATTTTCAAGGAAAATGTCTCTTAGAAATGTGAGGTGGATAGTGTAATGGAATGGCTTAAACTAAACGATTATGTGAAACATTATTCTTTTCATTGTTATCTTTATTGTCACTCTTTCTATTCTAAATCAGAGGTTCCCTCACTTATTCCAGACACGTTACCCTGGATGCATCCGTGTATTACATAGGTTCCCGTTGTCAACTTCATCTAACACTGCGATTCTCAACCCGTGGGTCCGACCCCTTTCGGAAGTCGAACGAACCTTTCCAAGGGGTCGCCAAAGACCACCGGAAAACACATAAACTCTACAGTTTTGAAGTAGCAACAAAAAATAATTTAATGGCTGTGGGTCACCACAACATGTGGAACTGCATTAAATGGTTGCGGCATTAGGAAGGTTGAGAACCAATGACATGTGCACCAGGAAATAGTGATAATTTCCTCCCTCACTACTGATTAAAAACTGATCCAGTTTTGAAACTACAAACGAAAATAACTTCACTTAACTCAGGTGCAAGGCTCCTCAATTGTTTTAACATAGGGGCCCATTCAATGTCCCAGCACACTTTAGGGACCGGCTCACTGTCCCTGGGAGACTTTTGGGGGGGACCAGATTTGAGTTTATAAAAGCTTTGAACGAATTCCATTGCACACTAAACATATCCTATTGTTATTTGGGTGGGGAGCAAGAAAAACATATTCAAAACGGAGAACAATTTTAATCAAGAGAGATGCTCAAGTAATCAGTAGTTCAAAGGGAAGATTTTGACTGCCTTGGCAAATGAGACAGTCAATGTCCAGTTTCATATTTCTCACCCCCTATGATGGCCCGGTGGGTCGGGTTAAGGATCCCTGGTGGGCCGAATCTGGCCCGAAGGTCTTAGTTTGAGGATCCTTGCACTCGGGGTCATACATGTATTCTATTTTTACGAAACAAATAATTCATTTTAATAGCACTTCAGAATAGTTCATAATGTTCAATATTAACTATAAAAAAAATTAAATAAAAAATAAAAAAAATAATTCTTACGATAGACAGTTGGACGAAAATACCAGCTGTAGACATTTTGACATTTAAAGATTATAGCGATTTTGAAAATGATGCTTTCTGTGGACATTTTAAAACACATACTTGCTGTGGACATTTTGACATTGCTGCTTTGCTTTTTGACATATTGATTTTAATGCCTGATGTCAAAATTTTGATGTTAATGCTTGATGTAGACATTTTGACCATAAGGCTGGCCATTAAAATATTCAGTCTCCTGCTCATCGTTTGAATAGAAGGACACACAAGAAGAGTCACAAAGAGACAGACATAGCAGATGTGTCAAAGGGAGACAGACGTAGCAGATGAGTCAAAGAGAGACAGACAAAACAGATGAGTCAAGGAGAGACAGACATAAGAGATGAGTCAAAGAGAGACAGACATAACAGATGAGTCAAAGAGAGACAGACATAACAGATGAGTCAAAGAGAGACAGACATAACAGATGAGTCAAGGAGAGACAGACATAACAGATGAGTCAAGGAGAGACAGACATAACAGATGAGTCAAAGAGAGACAGGCAAAACAGAAGAGTCAAGGAGAGACAGACATAGCAGATGAGTCAAAGAGAGACAGACATAACAGATGAGTCAAGGAGAGACAGACATAAAAGATGAGTCAAAGAGAGACAGACATAACAGATAAGTCAAAGAGAGACAGACAAAACAGATGAGTCAAAGAGAGACAGACATAACAGATGAGTCAAAGAGAGACAGACATAACAGATGAGTCAAAGAGAGACAGACATAACAGATGAGTCAAAGAGAGACAGACATAACAGATGAGTCAAGGAGAGACAGATATAATTGATGGCTCAAAGAGAGACATAACACATCTCTCTAATGAATGGAATTAAAAAATTTCTTGAAGATTTAGACTTTGTCTTAGTTACATACCACCGGTTATTATTTTGAAACCCAATTAAAGGAAATCCTATCATAGTTAAATCAGTTTAAATTAATGTATTGAACATTTTAAAAGTAAATTAATATCACCGTCTGTCTTTTAAACAGAGTCTGTCATATCTATTTTGGTTTTCTTGTTTTTTTTTGATTTTGTTTTGTTTTGTTGAGCTGTAACATCTACTCTGTGCTACGTTTTTTCCAAAAGCGAAGAGAACTCATCGCTGACTATTCTTGTAATATTTTGCCAGTTATCTACCTTTCGTAATCAGCTTTTGTTGTCAAAAATTTCACATTGAGTTTGATGAGTGCGATATCATCCTTATTTAACTATGCTATGTAATTATAATTCCCATGCTCATGATGTCTACAGGATACATGAAAATAAAGTTATTGCGTAATTTAAAATTGTTTTCTTTAACAAGAACCGATGTACACTATTAGATTGTGTTGGGCTCACTCTAGTATTCTTAGCTACGTCTAAGGTTGACATTTGTCCTTGTCAGTCGTTGGATGTAGCTATTACACACAGCGAAGTTCAAGAATGTGAATGGGAAAACGTAATGATCCTTTCAAGAGATGGAGTATTCTGGTGCCCAGATTTAAACAAAAAAATCACGTGTTTTCTTACGATAGTGTTTTATTTAAACACAATATTTCACAGACATGAGTTCGCTAAACAAGTTTCAGCATTGGGTTGATGGTTAGAAGCGAAATTATTACCTAGAAGAGCAGCTGAAGACAAGATGTTTGGTGAATATAATAATAGGAGGCCAGGGATTGAAAAAAATTGTAAGCACATATGGGAAACAAAAGATGTATACCCTTACATATTTTATTTTTTATAATTTGATAGGATTTTTTTTTTTTGGTTGGGGGGGGGGTTTGGGGGGGTTCGGCCCA